TTAGAACAATTAACCTCCAGAAGTGAGCGGTGAATGCTCCAACACTGGAAGTTTTTAAGAAGAGACTGGACAGCCATTTGTCTGAAATGATGTAGGGTTCCTGCCTGAGCAGGGGGGTTGGACTCAATGATCTCCAAGGTCCCTTCCAACTTTATTATTATTATTATTGTTGTTGTTGTTGTTATATTAGTTAATTACACTGAAATCTATTTTTTTAGTTCTGACTAGAGCAGTGTTTTTCACTTGGCAACAAGATGTGTGGACTCCCATGCATCTGAAAATTTCCAAGACTGAGAAATTCTGCTTTAGAGACTACCAGATACCAAGTTATTTTCGTTATAGCTACGATAGATGAATTCATAATGGTCCTTAAATTAATCCTCATGTAGCGACTTCCCCATTTAGTGACTGTTCACAATGATAAAGTAACTTTACCAATGCTCACATTTATGGCTTGCAGGTCTGCAAAGAAAGGAAAGCTAAAATAAGTTTATAAGGATAGTTTCACTTAGTGACTGATTCACTTTATGATTAAATCCTAATTGTGGTTGCTAAATGAGGACTACCTCTATTTAGATTTTGCTGGCTATTTTGTTCTCTACACTGAATTGTTCCTACATAACATTTCTGTTCATTTCAATTGTGGGACAGATAATGTTTCAGTAGAATTTTTACATTTATTTATTTATTTATTAAAGAAATTTATATATGCAGTGCATAGGAACTGCATATATAGTGCATGGGAGCCATTGTGTCCTTTGTCCAATTTGGTAATGTTAGATCTATATTCCCCAAATTTCCTAGCCACAATATCTTAACATTGTGTTTTTCTCTGATTCTAAAAAGTTTCTCCACGTTCTAAAAAGTATGAACAAATATACTGTGTCTACTTTTCAATAGGCCCTTAGAATGTATTTAAAGTATTAATATTTTTATTATCCCAAGTTTCCTTCAAGGAGCTACAACCAGCAAATAGAATTGTCTTCCCATTTTGTCTTCATCACGATCCAGTAAAATAGGGTTAGATCTAATCTGGAGTTATTTAGTTCTATAGTTGAATTAAAGCTGAATTTGGATCTCTCCAGTTTTAGTCCAATGTTAAACTTCTTGCACAATTGATGAATCTGATGTGAGAGTGGTATTTATTACATGGTAGTGTTTGTGTCTTTGTTGAAAGTGGAGCAAGGCCTGCTTTAGGCTAAGGCTGGATAGACATAGGTTTAAGGTGCCAAGGATTAGGGGACACGGTCATCTTTCCTCCCAAATCATTCTAAAAATGCAAATGTTTGGATGGCAGGAGATGATTCCATATAACCTTTAGCTGGAGGGAAGACTGCTATTAGAATTGTGACTTTCCATAAGTGTCTGATTTGAACTATAGGAATAGAGTGCTGGAGGAAATGAGTCTTTGATTTGAGCTAGCTTGGTGCTTATACTTTGCAATTAGCATGGGGGTCAAACCCAACATCTTTATTTAACAATCAGTTTGCCCATTTTTACTGGAGTAGTGACCAGAGAGTAATACTGCAGTTCTATATTTAATAGGGCCAATTAGATTCCATGTGAATTTGATAAAGCCTATAAATATTGTCAGAATCTGACCTGATTTTGATCAAGTTGCTCTCATGTTGTATGGCTACTGTTTGCTTCATTTCCGATCTCCTTCCTTGTAAATTCTACTGCTTATCTAAACTGCTTTGTCAAAGAATGTACAGCTCTAAGAGTTTTCTGTTTTTCAGGGAAGAGCTAGATTAAAGCCACTGATGCCTTAAGGCACAGCCCAACAATGGTCCCCTTCGGCCTTTCCATTGCTTAACTGACAAAATATTAAGACTCAATAAGTGCTGAAGTACTGAACGTGAAATAAAAGTTTAAAAATTCAGTTTTCTTCCAGGCTATTCCCCACAACTATATAAACAAGTAAATATCATTTTAAAAAGTTTATTCACACTAAATAGCAGTAAGCAATATAAACACATTATTTACTATAACCAGGACAACAAAAATGCGAATTTAACAGTTTTTAATGCATTTTTAATAAATAATTGTTATAAAGGGAAAATGTAAATGCAAAACTTTATTGAAAACTATTTTAAGCTTATTTTTATTTAACGTTCTACCAAAGATGATAAAGCAAAATAAGTTAGGGGCACGATATCTAGGAGTAAGAATTCTGTAGTACTCTTCTTCCCTTGATGTCTTACTGTGATTAATCTGCTTAGTGGTTAATCCATGGCTGGTCAGAACTAGACAGTGTGGTACCAATGTGGCTTCATTGTCATTCATCAGACTCCCTGGCCCACCTAATGATGATTTAGAATTTTTTTTTTTGTAACTAAAACAAAAATAGAAAGCTAAAAACTGAAGGGCCATATTGTAGCATCATTTTTACCATATTTTTTTGAGATCACAAAGAGATATTCATGGGTGACTGCATTGTTTGAAAATGCCCATAAGCTTATAAAACATAGGTAAGACATTTGCCTAGTCATTATCTCTATGATGACAACCATTTTGTAACAAGAATTTTTCCCCCAAGAAAGACATTTTGTGAGAGATGTTTTTAAAATTCCAAATGAATCTGCTAGCCCTGCAAAAATCATTGAGCAAAACTCCTCTAGATGGCGAAAACTGTCTTGGTGCTTATTCTTTTCTCAACAAAGTATTTGCAGCATACCTCTCCATAATTAGTTGAGGCCCCAATTTAATTGAGCTTCAATGAAGAATTTTGACTTCAATATCTGATAACTAATGAGAATCTTGTAATGTCTTGTGGAATATTCTGGAGATCCTGAATGTAAATTTTCAATGTGAAATTCATTGCCAGCCAGTTTAGTATATATAATATATGCATTACAATTGTGTTTCTTAAAGAATGTCTTAAAGTTAATATTTTTTTATTGACAGAGCTGTAAGGATAATAAAAGTCATGAATGTATGGGTATTTTATGAAAATGTTTAATTCAACTGTTTCTTTGGAATGTAGTAGTCATTGTCTGCAAATTTAAATTACAATTCAATTCTTTTTTTTTTAAAATGCTACTCAGTGTCCGAGAATACAAACGTCATTTAAAGTTAAGGCTTTGCTGTTCATTTTGAAATAACAATTTAAAAGTGTCATATTGTCATAGAAAATAAAAAATTTCTGTAAAAAAATTTGCACAAAATTTATAATGATACAAAACATGAAGCAATAATATACCAGTAAAATGAAATCATTTTACTACAGAAGAAATTTTATAGGTTTTTTTGATAAAGAAAAAATATGTTATTTTACACTTTCAAAATTATGAAACAATCTAAAACAATATAAACTGAACATTTTGTAACACTGCCTTTACAAATTAATAACTTTATAAACATATAATTCTTAAATATATTTTTCAGTGCAAGATTTTTTTTTTCATTTAAAGTTGCAGTATCATTTTTTTTTTTCTTTTGCTGAAGGGCAGTTTTCATTCAATTTCTGTTTGACGACATCGGTACCCAGTGTTCTGCTCCAGGATTAAACAGCTACATCACCAGGGTTTCCTTATTTTGCTTATACTGTTAGCAATCTGGCTAAGTTCACATATCTGCTCTGGCATATTTGCTCAGTGATAAAAAAAATAATAAAAATTAAAACATTCTGAACTTTGCTTTCCATGATGTTGTAGTACTACAATTACCAGATGCCTGGTCACAGATTCTTCTTTGCTTGGAGAACAGCATTAGGATGGAATTACAAAATGAAAGTTTGTAATGGGCTATGCTTTTGTCTTATATGCCTTCATTGGCTTAAGTTAACTACACATTTTGAAACCAATGGAGGATGCACAGTGGTGATATTGTGAGGATTGTGGCCAAAACTTTTCTGTTCCAATGACAAGAAAACAACTAACCCCACAGTCATTTAAACAAACTCAAATAATTTTAAATTAGCCTATTGTTCCAAAAATGTGATTTTCCTTTTAACTAGGGAAAAAATAAAAGCTATATGGAGGACCTATTCATGCTAACATGTTTATATTATCAGAGGAAAATGCTTGTGTTTGCGTTCTTTATATACAGTATGCAACTGGACTGTATTTTCCTTAAATCTTGCTGAATACAGTGGGACATACTGGGAATAAAGGTTAACAGGACTGTATCTTTAGATTAAGAATGTGACACCTGTTACTTGTTGTCATCTGAAAATTGTATTACAACATCATTGGTCTAATTAATTCAGGTTAATGAAAATTGGAACACAATGTCTAGACAGTCACAAATTCTCCATCCCTCTTATTATTCCTCTGATGGAATGAAAATGCCTACTTTGGGTTCTGTACAAAGCCTAACACATTTGTTTGTGTTAAATAAACACAATGATGACATGGATTATACTAAACTTAAGAGTGGTGATTGGGATGGTTCACACATGTATGCTTTTCAGCTGTTTTAAAGCAACATAATGTGCCTATTCTCATTCTTGAATCTATGATGCAGCTTTCATATTATTCTTATGAACTTAAATACAATGATCTTCGGTAAAGAGGTTTTTTACAGAATAGACTGAAAGTAACTGAAGAGCTGAATAATGAATTGATAATATCCATCTTTTCATACATAAATTCAGTCACCAGCATATCTTGTTTTTAAAACATTTCATTACAAGTGAATGAAGAAAGATGAAACTTAATTTGAGAAATCCTGGAAATTGCTGCCCATTACAATAGTCAATACCAAGTTACATAGCCTGATGCAGGTAGTCCTCAACTTACAACTGTTTATTTGCTGAATTGTTCAAAGTTAAACAGCACTGAAAAATGTGACTTATGACCATTTTTCACAGTTATGGCCTTTGCAGCATCCCCATGATCATATGATCAAAATTCAAATGCTTGGCAACTGGTTCCCATTTATGACCATTGCTGTGTCCCAAGGTCATGTGATCAATTACCCTTGGTGACCTTCTGACTAATAAAGTTAATGGGGAAACCAGATTCACTTAACAACCATGTTGCTAACTTATCAACTGCAGTGATTCATTTAACAACTATGGCAAGAAAGATCCTAAAATGAGGTAAAACTCACTTAACAAATGTCTCACTTAAAAATAAAAAATTTGGGCTCAATTGTAGTTGCATGTTGAGGACTACCTGAAGTCAGATTTATAGGCCACAGATTTAGTTCATATGTGCACAAATTATTAAAAATCCTTTTTCCATACCAATATTAATATTGTATATGTTACTTTTTGAGTTCTAGAAAGTACATGCAATGAAATCTGCCCCTCTTAAATAATGTTTGTATGCACTTTTATCACAGATCTTAAGATGCCTATGTGATTATTGACATAGAGTCAATAATACATGATGCAGCTAAATATACATGAAAGAAGTGCAGTAAAAATTATTTGCATTTGATGTTGTCTTTGGGATAATTAACTAGTAGAGCATTCAATTACATTGTAAATTGGATTACTAAACAATTGATTCATATACTCTTTTGTCACTTTGATTTTTTTTTCATGGTAGATGAAAATAAACCTTCTTTGGATGATAACTCATATTTACAACAAAGAGAGCAGGATTGTTAAACATTTGCTCTGGTGTAGTGAACACCAGCTGTTTTTAATCAAGGTGCTTTTGAATACCACGTAAAACAATGTGACAAAATCAGTTTATGGTGCCCTGAATGCTTGTTATGATTTAAGATCTTTAACAATTAACTGTGTCAAGAGTTAACTGTGTCTTTTGGAGATTAACTTAATTCTTAAAACATGGCTACAGTTGTCAGTTTTTTTTCATAGACATTACTTTTCAATAAGAGGAAATACATAAGTTGTACAGACTGTGCTGGCTGAGTGAACGGAAGGACCACATGGTCCCCAATTCCTTCTCATCAGAATGTTAAGAGTACTTATTTTAAATCCAGTTTAGGATATGTTATACAATGATTTTTTTTTAAAGCAAATCCATTATTAGCAAAGACAATGCATTACTACTTGTAGCAATATTAGTATGCTTCTACATTAGCATGAATGAGTCCTGCGCAGAAACAATTACCCTTAAATTGGATAGCTAGGATATGGATGGGAAAAACACTCTTTGCTCTTCAACATCAACAACAAATTCTCATTGCCATCGATTTATATGAACATCTTGGACAGAATTAAAAGACTTACTTCATGGCTTACTAAAGGAGAGAGAAAAAAAGATAATGTCAGTTAATGCTGCTAAAAAGAAATCCAAAGATCAACTCTGGAAGGTAACATTAAGACATATCCCTTATTTTAAAATACAGCAATAAAAGAAAAGACAAAAATTTAACAAAATCCTCTTTTTGTTGCCATTACCAGCAAATTAGAGCTGCATTTTCCTTACCTTGACAATGGCAAATGCTTATGTAACAATCTATTCAGAGACAGAAGAGGGGAAAAGCTAAAGACAGAGAGGCCTTATTTTTGAAAAATACATTCTGTATGAAAGAAGAGTAAAAGGTAGAAGGACAGGACAAAACTGCAGGTTTTTAGAAAAAGTGGGTTCAGCAACATGAAATTGAAAAATCTGAAGTGAAGGAATTAACTCAGCGTTTCTCAACCTTGACAATTTTAAGGCATGTGGACTTCAACTGCCAGAATTCCACAGCCAGCAATGCTGGCTGTGGAATTCTGGGAGTTGAAGTCCACATGCCTTAAAATTGTCAAGGTTGAGAAACACTGAAAACTGCAAGTTGCCAAGGTTTTGTTAGCCCTTGCTGAGAGAGAGAGAGAGAGAGAGGGAGGGAGGGAGGGAGGGAGGGAGGGAGGGAGGTGACAAAGAAGGAGTTGATAATCCAGTGAGGAGAAATACAACTAAAAGGCACTTGAAAAGACATAAACGAGCCAGTGCCAAGGACTTTTGCTTTTTTCCTCTCATTACAATTCAATGCAGGATGCCTGGTTTGCCAATTATTTGTAGGTGATGGCACATATCTTTTGTATGTAATTCACAAGCACAAAGGTGGAGTACAACACTGAGAAACACCAATAAATTCTGACCGTATTGCTTGGTTAACAGAGTTGACACACTATACCAGTACTGACCATACAGTACTTCCCCACCCACCCCGAAAACAAACACCCTAACCCTCCTTTGCCTATGCACAACACAAGCAATTATACACAAATACAGTATCAGGAATCCATTAAATGCTGTTACTCTGATATTTTTCCTTCTGGGCACTCAGCTACAAATAGGATGTCCATCCAATGGATTCCTGCCAAAATACATGTTTTGACAGCATCTTGGATTTTTGCACAGTAAAAAAAAACAAGGACTTATGGGCCCAGAGTAGGGTGGGGGAGACAGAAGGAAAGAAAAAGAAGAATGGAGGGGCTAAGGGAAGAAGAAAGAAGAAAAAAAGGCAGAACCAAAACAGAAAACCCCTCTTAAGTCAATCATACTTGGTCTCAACACCAGCATTTGAATAGTTTAAATTAAAACAGAAACAGAAGTAGACTGTACATGATTCAGATTGTTTAACACAGATTGTTGTCCATGTCTTAGAATATCTGGTACACCCACTGAAGCTCCTGAGAAAAGCTTGGCTCAGCGTCTTCAACGCAGTTTTCAGCCTGTACAGAAAAGGGAGATCTATAAATCTTTCTGTCTAAATTGTTTGAAATGTTTGAGCTCCTCCTCCTCCTCCTCCTCCACCTCCTCCTCTACCTCATGCTTCTGAATAAGTATTCTGTGTGTTCAGTTTATCCTTTTTTAATTTAACCCCATCCACAAGTTCAAAATTGTAGTTCTCCAGTGCAGATAAGTTTCTATCGGACATCCCATTGTGCCAACAGGCGCAGTACAGAATAACCCCACAGATGGCACCAAGCAGCACACCCAGGGCACTCATAGCGATGATGGTGATGAGAATGGGGTCAAGTGTTTTCAGCACATTGCCTGGCTTTCGAGAAATGTTGTCATTATAAGGCTCCCCATTTTCACGGTAATCAGGAGTAAATCCTACAGAGGAACAAAGAAACACAGAAATCATGGAGTGGCAGGATAGCCAAATCTGGGTAAATAGGGCCCAGTAAGAAAGATAAGAAGATAAACAAGCTTAAGTGGAGATGTGAGACAATATTATAAATTTATGACTTAAGTTGGTCACGGATTCTGATGAATTGGAAGCCTCTTCATTTCTCAGCATTCTTGTACGTATGTGTGTGTGTGTGTGTGTGTGTGTGTGTGTGTGTGTGTGTGTATTGCTATATTTCCTAATATCTGAGAATATATATTTTCATTTAGGCACTAAACGTAGTGCCTAAAATTTAGGCATTGAATTAAGAAGCTGATTTTTGTTTTGCTTTTTTTACATTTTACACCTGCAGGAGTTATGAACTAGATTGTAGAAAATGCTTCATCTCTAATTTCTTGTCAATGGAAATAGAGAAGTCTTTTTTTTCTCCTTGGGAAAAAAAAAATTGGAATAAATTGATCTTTGTCTTTATCCTGTTATGTGACACAGGAAAACTAGGTAAAATTCAAATTATATAGCCGTTTAGAATAGTGCACTGCAGAAAAATTCTACATTTGATTTTGTGAAATAGAATTTGGTCCCCTCCCTCAAAAAAATTCCTTCCTTCCTTCCTTCCTTCCTTCCTTCCTTCCTTCCTTCCTTCCTTCCTTCCTTCCTTCCTTCCTTCCTTCCCTCCCTCCCTCCCTCCCTCCCTCCCTCTCTCAGACATCCTCATCTTTTCTATGAAGGTGCCGGCAGCTGGAAAAACAAATTTTACCAGATGTCTGCCCTGTTTACTTGCAGAGGTGGCCTTGAAATAGCTCTATTCTAAAAGTTTAGGAACTAGCAGTAGTTGATGTCAGATATTTACTATTTTCAGGCTCAAGAATTTCAGATTTAGGTGATTGAGCGATGGTCTTGAGATCCTCTGAATCTTCTGCATAAATGATTTAGGAGACATTTAAAATATATGATAAGAAGCTTTGTTTCATGTCATCTTTTGCCTCTCCCCCTTACTCAAATGCAATTATGGAGAGTCAGAGAGATTGCAATTTGATTCTCTAATGTTTCTTCCTGAAGAATAAAAAGTTTAAATTTAAATCTCCAGCAAGATGTAAGGAAAATACCTCTTTATTTGCCACTACAATACATTCTATTATTGCAATTGCTGATGTGTTTGAAAATGGCTATCCCAAAGGTGCTGTTTCAAAAGGCAAGTGGACTTTGTTTTTCCTTGAAGACATTTCACTTTTCATCCAAGAAGTTGCTTCAGTTCTGAAGAGGTTCTAGGATGAGAACTGAAGAAACTTCTTGGATAAAAAGGAAAAATAAAGTCAAGCTGTCTTTTGAAAAAGCACCTTTGGACAACCATGATCTGGATGACTGAGAACCTCCGTAGATATTTGAACATGGCTAAAACAATATAAGCAATGGATATTGATGAATTTGATATAATCCTCTTTAAAAACCTTTATTTTATTATTGGTTACTATATTATCTGTGTTTATTCCTCTCCTTCATTAAAAAAAATGTAAAACAAGTCAAAATATTAAGCAATATAAGCAAACAGGCATGTTAATAATAATTGTATGACTTTATTAGATTGGTCATCTATATAAGGTGGATGGATTTAGTTGCAATGGTTTATGCATATGCCATTAGAAAAGGAGTAGGTTAGGGACATATAGAAAAAAACCCTATATGATTGCTAAGAGACAATACCAAGTTATCTCTCTCACCAATCAGCCATCTACATTGGTTAAAAATAAATTGAAATGAAACTGATCCACATGAAAACCAAATTAATTTTTAATTAAAATATATATATTACCTGTTTGATTAATATCTGGTTCTACTTCAACTACTTCATTCCCTGCATCATTTGATTCTGTTAAGCAAAGAGAATTGACACTGATTATCGTAATGATAAATACTGACTGGTTATCATACTGCCAATAATGATACTGAGAATTTTTCTTCCTTTTCTAAGCGTGATTATATTGGTTTGATGGAGTTGTTCATTAACCTGGTTTTTCCAAAATTAGCAAAGAAGAAAAAAACCTTTTCTCTACCATAGCATGGCACAGTTTTAGTGCTATCAACTGGGGATTTTTGTCTCAGATAAATGAAAATCCACATATAAAATTGGCATATTTTATTCATTGCATTTATAATCTTGGAATCCAATGCTATTAATCAGTCATAAGTATCCTTTAGCCATGGAAAATAATTATCTTAACTGAAGTGCATACATAAGGATATTAGAATAGAAACCTGCTGTTTAAACTCTTCTTTCATAAGACTTTGACCTGAATGACCAAAATCATGTGAAATTAATTCCCAAATTAGTAGATTACCCATCATAACTTTAGTATCAATATTTTCACTCAGACCTTTAAGGCTAAACTATTTTGAAGATTTCAACTGTACTAATTTTGATTGGTTTTAATTTTTGTAGTGTTGGATAGCTTTATTGTTGTCCAGTGGTTCTCAACCTGTGGTCTGTGGATTCCTGGGAAGAAATATTATGATTGAAATCAATGGCCTCCAACCTTTTGGACATCAGGGACTGGTTTCCATATACCGGAGGGGACATGGTTTTGTGTGCCACCTGCATCCCGCGGACCAGTTGGGGACCCCTGATTTAAATCTTGAGTTAATTATCGGGGGGTCCATGGCCAAAAAAGCTATTTAAAGGAGGTCCATGGTGAAGAAAAGGTTGAGAACCACTGTTCTGTCCTCCTTCGGTTTGGCATCAATATCATAGGATTACAGCTGCACCAACAATTACTTTTATGACAGATCACTTATATCTATTTTAAGCATATGGTAGACTTAGTTAGTGTGTCCATATTCAAGATCAGCTATGAAGCTTACTTAAGCTTATTTAAATTTAAGTTATCCAACATCAAGCGTATGTAAACTGATTGAAATCACCTAGTTTTGCACAGATCTAGGCTTTTGGGGTAACTTGTTCACAAGAGAAATATGAAAGACGTATGGTAGGAAAACAAATAAAGGTAAATCAACTACAGATATATAGGATCCAACATTTGTTAACAAGATTGTTATAGCCTTTATGTTATATATAGGTATAATTTCTGCTTTGAGTATTTATTAAAAAGGTGGAAATAAAAATGTAATAGTAACACTAACAATCAGCAGAAGAATTCACAGTGTTCAGTATGGTAAATTTTATAGTTACCATCAAGTCATACTTACTTCGGCATTCTTCCTGTGTTATGTGGCTGTCAAAGTTAATATCATCAACTGCAATTCCTCCATTTCCCTTTCCAATTTCTCCTTCCACCATTACCTGATAAAAATAAATTACATTTTGCTGGTTAATGGCCAGCTAAAATGGCCAGAACAAAGACTAGTTATTGAATCTTTAAGCAAGCATACATTGAAGAGACCAATCTTCTGTTATCTCTAAAGGCTCAAGATGTCATATGAAAGTACCATTTTATGAAAAAACAACTCTTTCAGAGAAAGTGCAGTTTTACCCTCAGGGCTAAGTGTAAAACAGATTGTATTGTTGTGCAATAAATCAGCATTCAGAGATCCATACAGTTATAATTAAATCTTTGTAGGTTTGCATATTCTCAACATAATTGGTATTGAGAAATTTTTACAGAAGTAGCTAAGAAGGACGTTATTTCCCTTTATTTAATTCTGTTATCATGTGGTGGATTAAATTATCTTTTGGGATTGAGGCCATTTTAGATGCATATTCTCTCAAAATGGCTGCTATGGGATTTACCAAAAGGCAAAGTGAGGTTGTTCATTCTTTTCCTTAGTGATCTGGGATGCTTTTTGCAACCCCAACTTAATTTTCCTTTACTGTTTTTTTCTGCGGGTGAAGATACTACTGAGCAACTCTCATACATTATTTTATTTTCTAAAAATACCTGTGGGACCTATATAAGCTTGCCTCCCATTTTTTTTTTAATTAAAAGAACAAATAAAAGCTCTGGAGTCTTACTGGCCCCCCATGTGAACACCACTTTGTGGAATGGGAAGAGGGAGAAAGAAAAGATAAGAGATTTCCCCAAATACAGCTGAGCTACAAACCACAGTGGAAAAAAGAGTTATTTTAAGCTTCAAATGAAAATACCCAGAGTGGGTAAACCAAAATCTTATGGAAGATATGATTAAAATGCAGGTGTCTCACCATCTGATGGATGGTGTTGATGAAAGGCATCTCCTGCAATGGAAGACCCTCTTCTGGGAGATTCTCCTGTTGCCTTTAAAGCAATTCTTTAAATATATTTACATGTTAAGATATTTAGCTATAATTCTGTATTTTTCTTGTCTTATTTTTGACTATATTTTTCGTAATATAGATTTATGTATAAAATATTAAATTATAAGTAAATTGGCTCACAGAAAGTATTTTCCCCTCCAAAACAAATCACATAAGGAAGAAAATGAAAGCACAACTGCATTCATCTGTAGATCAGATACCTTAGGTATAGATAGCAAGTTCATATTTAATATGGAGTGATTAATTCAAACTTTGCTTCTCCCAAATCCAAATAGTGTAAATATAATTAGATATGAAGATATGATTATGTTGTCTTTTGCAACCTAATGCTTCATAGGCATGTTGAGTCTCTCAGAATTTCTAGCCAATGCAGTTTTTGAATGTCATGATTAGGAATCCGGGAATCTGTCCCCTCAGCACATCAGGAAAGCATCACATTGGGATATTAAATGAAATAAACATCAATATTGTCAGTTTTTATTGAAAGCAGATCCTTGGGTCTTTCCCACTCCTGAGATCCTTTTAAGACAGGAATAGTCCATCTATGGATTTAGGGCAACCCTAGCATCTATGTTTAATTACAAAAGCCTTTTGCAAATAATTGGATTCAGACCTATGGAAACAGCAATGATGCCATTCACCAGCACTCCAATGGGCATGAAGGAAGGAGCATTAGAAGTAGTGTGATGGAAAGGAATGCAGAAGGTCAGGAGGCGTCAGCCTTTCTAGGCAGACCAGAAAAGAATTATGACCAAGGGAACTAATTCTATGTTATTCTAAAGCTGTGTTAACAGAATCTTGCAAGTCTGAAAGTACAAATCTCACCTTGTGTCCTTTGAAGCCTAAGAACTTGTGGGGTGTGTGTGTGTGTGTAGTTATATGTGTTCCTGCTGAACCTCTTTCTCTGGCCATTGTGCAGCTATGAACTATGTCCTTTCTTATCTGGCTTTTTCTAAGGCAGCATTTGTCTTCCCTCTCATTTCCAAACTCATTCCTACCTATCATTATAGCAGGAGACCTTTTGTTTTGCATGCAGGAGGTTCATTTCAACCACTTCAACCCTTAACCTATTTCTGTTAAGGTTTAGTTTTCTAAACTAGGGTTTAGAAGTCTAAATTTTATTCACAGCTAGTGTGGGGAAAAAAAGAGGAAGAGGAGGAAAGGGATGGGAAAGGGAGGAGGAGGAGAAAGAGAAGGAGGAGGAGAAAGAGAAGGAGGAAAAGGAGGAGGAGGAGGAAGAGGAGAAGGAGGAGAAGGAGAAGGAGGAGGAGGAGGAGGAGGAGAAGAAGAAGAAGAAGAAGAAGAAGAAGAAGAAGAAGAAGAAGAAGAAGAAGAAGAAGAAGAAGAAGAAGAAGAAGAAGAAGAAGAAGAAGAAGAAGAAGAAGAAGAAGAAGAAGAAGAAGACCATCCTTTTCAGCTAGCATATTTTTTTTTCTCTGTTTCTAAGTAAACCTGACTCACTTAAACTCAAGCTTTGGCTGGAACCCTGTGATCACTGCATTAGTATCTTAACCAAACTCAGGTCTCTGTTGCTCTAGTTCTTATTTTATTTCTGAAGCTTCCCCATTCCCCACGAAAGACAACTTAACGTGGGGCTTCAGTCATGCACAATGCATGGAATGCTATTGATCCAGCCTTCTTTTATGCTTAAATTTCTTGGCCTACCTGATAATGTTTCACAGATTTGTGGAGAAAAACCCGGCCTTCCTTCCAGCAGTTTCCCTGATTTCCACTTAGTGTCCATAAGACCCGATCGTATTCTTTAGGTATCTGGTACCGCAGTTTGATTCTTAGTGTGCCGACGTGAGGGCCCGACATATGATACCAGAAAGTCATGCAAAGGGCATAATTTTGCAGATTGATGATGGGGCTGATGAGGCGGACAATTTTGCCTTTCTGGTTTTCATCAGCTTGGGAATAAATAAAATTGCCATCTCCTATTGTGACAAAACACTGCATTAGACACAATGACCCAGTTTGACTCCCTTTAATCTGATAAACTTCAAGCATTACAACATGAACAAGCTTTTTCTAAGGAGCTGCAACTGAAAGCTTACTGAAAAATATCTTGGCATGTATGGCTATGCTTTCTCATCCTCTTCCAGCAAACTGAAATTAGTTAAGGCACGAACTTTCCTGATTTTCTAAATGGTAAGGCATCATTTTGGTAATAATATGGAGAGATTCTTAAGAAACAATGTGCTGTGTAGTAAGAGTGGAGATATTAAGATGTGTTTCTGCCCAGATCAATTCATCCCATCCAGTTTTCACTTGTGCTATATGTATTTCTTTCAAGGTAAAACACTTATAAAATATGTACATATTTGAAATGCAATTTGTCATTAAAATATACTTTTTGCACAGAGCTGTAGTAAGTTATTGAATGGGAAGCTGCATTAAACAAGTAGAAGAACAGATAATTCTCCTTCTCAATTACTTTGGAAAGTGAATGTTTGCTTCCAAATGTGGACTGAATAATATTCTGAAGAATCCTTTAGTTGTAGCTTCTTCTGTACTTTAAAGCAAGGGAAACCATGAAAATTATTGTTAATGTTGCCACCAGATCACAAATTCATGTCTTTAGATCTCCCCAGACCCATGGGGAAGTACAGCAACCCCATCTTCATCAACATCCTCCTTCCATTTGCTGAGTAAAACCCAGGATTTCTCTTTGCATTCATACTGTATTGGAAGCACCAAGACATTTCTGAGTTGCAAGGATTAGCCAGTGATATCACCATTGTTCAGGAGATGACTGGTCGGAGGCTCCTTTCATGTCCCTGTTAATCTGGCCACCTGAGAGGTACTTACAATTGCAAACTTTCAAACTGCTTGTTTGACAGGAGCTGGAGTGAGTGACGGGAGCTCACTCCATCACACAGCAGCACCTGTGTCTAGGACATAGGCTTGTTGATTGTTAACACAGCATCCTAACCATGAGCCACCATATTTCCTTTCTCTTCACAAATCCCAGATCAAAAGAACCAATGGTCGGGATAGGGAAGGAATAAGCAGGAGGGATCATGGCTTCCTGGTATATTTCCAGGCCCTAAAGAGAGATTTTAACTACTATTCATGTACATTTCAGTTTAGTTATATTTGATGGGATTTAGCTGCTGTATGTGGGGGTAGATTTTCTACCCCACTTCTGTCTCTCTGCATTACAGCTTTCAGGTTTTGGAATGAGCCTTCGCAGCTCTTTGGTAATCAACCAATTTGTTTATTCATTTCGGTATATAGTCAAATCATTTTTCAAGGGAGAACATGTCAAATGGCTATTCTATGTAAAGAGGTTCAGGAATAGCAATTGATTTGTTCTCTTAAATAGTGGCACAATGAAGCTGAAGATAGTTAAGCAAAAAAAAAAGGATATCAGATATATGGTGTGTGTGTGTGTGTGTGTGTGTGTGTGTGTAAAACTCCTTGTTGTGAATCTGTTTTCAGCTTATGGTTTAGAATGTGGAAAGCATCTAACAAAATCTCATTTAAGAGATAAAATCCCTCCCTCCTCAACCCTTCAATGAGAGGACAAGTCATGCTTGTCTCTAGATGCTCATGGCAAAGTTCAAATATTTTTCATTTCAAGAATATTATTGCAACTCTGGGTCAAGAACTCTGCCTTTTTTGTCTTAATTACAGCTCAACTTATGCATGCCTTTTAGATTCTGTCAGTCCTTGGCTAACGTGGCTTTTAACCTCCCTTCAATGTCAGTTCTTACTGAGTCATTTCATCTTACTTTGCATCAATTTTTGCCATTATTACAGCCTTCATTTCAGCTAACTTCCTTTTGCTTAATTTGATGCCGTTTATTTGTACAGTGCCATTCATAGTCAAAGTATTTAAAGTTTTTTCCTATCCTTTAAAAACTAAATCGACTTGTCTCAAGATTCAATTGAACTGTCTCTAAATTTAAGGAGCCCAATTTCCTTGTCATTCTCATTAAGTAAAGTGGGGATGGGGATAGAAAATGGAAATGGGGAAGGAAGGTTCATTGCTAGTACCTCTGACTATCTATATAAATGAAAAAAGGGAATGAATAATTGAAACATGGGCCACAATGTCACCCTTTGTTCAAAAGGTTTCTGCCTTCAGAAACAAGCATTTAGAAGGCCTAAGATCTCACTATATCAGTTTCCACCTGATAATGAGGCCTCTAAAAGCACCTTTAGAAGAAGTTGAAGTTAAGTGATCTTGCAAATTTAAGAAAATACACATATACATAAAAGCACCAGGATAACGGTGCATTAAATCTAGTAATTCTAAGACAGGATTTGAAATAGCACCCTTGTTTTCCTCAGTGTAAAACAGAATCGACACACAGATACAAAGTACAAGATATAACTGTAAGGGTGCCTGCCCAATACAGTCATAAGTCATATCAAGCTGGTCAGTTACATGACCCATCCAATTTTACAAACGTTTTGCAGCAGTTGTTAAGTAAACACAGCACTCATAAAGCAAATGCATCAGTTGTTAAGTACGCCCATTGTTTGCTATGGCTTGGTTTTGCTGAAACTGAAATGTGATTATGTGACCATGGGTTGCTGCAAGTGACCTTGTTGCTGAATGCTTGAAGTGCAATCATGTGCCTGGTGGACAATGGCGATCAATGAAATTTTGTATCTGGATTTTAAGTCCCTTTTTGGATCTGTTGTAAGTTCAAATGGTTACTAAGCAACTGGTTGTAAGTCAAGGACTATCTGTAAATGTTAGTACTGGCAGATCTTTTATTTTAAATACAACTTGTCACTGGATCAGTTGTTAATCCTATTTTACCTGTGTGGTCCTGAATGGGCCCTGTTTTGCTGGTAAGGACTGCCCATCTCAAATCCAGCTGGGCATCATGTTCCCAGCGACAGATCGTCTTCTGAGAACTGTAGCCAAATCCGCAGTTGAAACCATATGCTGGAAGTTCTTCAGTAATGGAATAATGGATGGCTGCAAGAAAGCAAGATGTAATTTGTGAAATTATTATTGTACTTTAATTTTTTTTAAAAAATGTATCTAAAGATAATTCTAATAGACTATCAATAGTTCTTTCGATAGCTACTGCATTGACTTACATGCAGTGATCGGCAACAGCACTGTGCTGGAGTGGGAAAGGAATCAATGAGCTTTCCACCATTTTTAAACATTTCCATCATGTCTTAATATGGCATTGGTCCAAATCATTGTATAAGATGGGAAAAACAGATTCTTAACAGTAAAGCTACCATGTCAGAACAATAAGCCTAAGATCTTACTCAATACAGAAGGCTTTCAAGCACTGTTGAACTGGATTGTCTCATGTTGAAATAAACAGATTCATGCATACGATCATCTGAAGCCACAGTTTTAAACTTAAACATCTATACAATAGGTAAACCTCCTAAATTCCCCAACCAGCATGAAGTCTGCACATTTTAAATATATCAAGGTTGAAAAATATTGATCTAAAGAACTTACTCTATGAGATAATTAAGTCTTAATTTTGCACGGTTCCTCATTTCCCTATTATACCAGGGATATAATAATAATAGTAAAGTTGGAAGGGACCTTGGAGGTCATCTAATCCAACCCCCTGCTCAGGCAGGAAACCCTACACCATTTCGGACGAATGGCTGTCCAGTCTCTTCTTTAAAACCTCCAGTGTTGGAGCATTTACTGCTTCTGGAGGCAGGTTGTTTCACTGATTAATTGTTCTCACTGTCAGGAAGTTTCTCCTTAGTTCTAGGTTGCTTCTCTCCTTGATTAGTTTCCACCCATTGCTTCTTGTCCTGCCTTCAGGTGCTTTGGAAAATAGCTTGATTCCCTCTTCTTTATGGCAGCCCCTGAGATATTGGAATACTGCTATCATGTCCTCCCTTGTCCTTCTCTTCGTTAAACTAGACATACCCAATTCTAGCAACCGTTCCTTATATGTTTTAGCCTCCAGTCCCCTAATCATCTTTGTTGCTCTTCTCTGTACTCTTTCTAGAGTCTCAACATCTTTTTTACATCGTGGTGACCAAAACTGGATGCAGTATTCGAAGTGTGACCTTACTAAGGCATTGTAGAGTGGCATTAATACTTCACGTGATCTTGATTCTATCCCTCTGTTAATGCAGCCTAGCACTGTGTTGGCCTTTTTGGCAGCTGCAGCACACTGCTGACTCATATTTAGGTGATTGTCTATTAGGACTCCGAGGTCCCTCTCACAGTTACTACTATTGAGGATGGTGCCACCTATGTTGTACTTGTGCATTTGGTTTTTCTTGCCTAAATGTGGAACCTTGCTTTTTTCACCATTGAATTTCATTTTGTTAGTTAGTGCCCAATATTCAAGTCTGTCCAAATCCTTCTGTATCTTAACCCTGTCTTCTGGAGTGTTGGCTATTCTTGCCAGCTTGGTGTCATCTGCAAATTTGATGAGTTCCCCATCTATCCCTTCGTCCAAATCGTTGATAAAGATGTTGAAGAGCACTGGGCCCAGAACAGAGCCCTGGGGCACCCCACTACACACTTCCCTCCATATAGATGAAGTTCCATTGAGAACCACACGCTGAGTACTGCCAGTCAGCCAGCTACGGATCCATCTGGTGGTGATTCTGTCTACCCCACATTTTTCTATATTACCAAGTAGTAGGTTGTGATCTACTTTATCAAATGCCTTACTGAAGTCCAAGTAAATTATGTCTACAGCATTCCTCTGATCCACTAATTTTGTCACTTGGTCAAAGAATGCAATAAGATTTGTCTGGCATGATCTATTTTTGACAAACCCATGTTGGCTTTTAGTAATGACTTTGTTTGCCTCTAGGTGTTCGTTGATTCGTTGTTTGATTATCTTTTCCAGGATCTTCCCAGGTATTGAGGTCAGGCTGATAGGTCTGTAATTTCCTGGATCCATTTTTTTTCCTTTTTTGAGGATGGGAACTACATCAGCTCTTTTCCAGTCCTCTGGTAGTTCCCCTGTGTTCCAGGATCTTTGAAAAATATAGTTCAGTGGCTCCGATATCACATCTGCCAGTTCCTTGAGAACTCTGGGGTGTAATCCATCTGGTCCTGGCGATTTGAACTCATCTAGGCTGGACAGGTGCTCCCTAACCATTTTCTTGCCTATCTTAACTTGTGTTTCTGTTTTGTTTTTTATGGCACTATTTTTGATAGGTTGGTCTGTTTTTTCCCTTTGTGTAAAGACACATGCAAAAACTGAATTAAATGGTTCTGCTTTCTCCTTGTTGCTTGTCACCTTCTTGCCACTTCCACCCACTAATGGACCAATCATTTCCTTCACTTTTTTCTTGTTTTTTACATGTTGAAAGAAGCTTTTTTTTGTTATTTTTGGGGGCATCAGTAAGAGGGGAAGCTGCTAGAGCTGAAACTCTTCCACATCAGCCAGAGGAATGGTCAGTGTTGCATTGGTCAAGAGGAAGAGATGGGCAAAAGACTACAAAGATCCCTTCCATTTATATAGCAATAAACTATAGTTTGTATGACCTGGGGCATGTAGGGCTTTTCTCTAGTTACATCTAACCATGGTATGAAATGGATCCTGCCTTGGATGCAGCCACATAAAATATGGAACCTTTGCTTTCATTGGGCATGAATACAAATCATAAATGGGGCAATAAATTTTATGCTGAGATATTTTCCTGCCAGCTCAAAAACCGGTGGATAGTAACCAATACCAAGACCAGGATTTTACTTTAATTCAGAAGATTCTTACAATAAATATAAAATTGAAACCAGAAGTTTTCTTCTGAAGATTGATGGACAAAGAACTTGAAGGAAAATTTGGAATTTTGTTATTATATACTGTACAGTATATTGTCAGCAGCAAGACTCTTGTTTGTGTAAAGAGGCAAATCCACACTAATTCTCACAAAGGAAGAGTGCATGGTAAAAGTGATGGAGTTAGCAGAGATAGCGAAACTGACTGTTTTAATTAAAGAGAAGATCTAGTTTTGTTTCTACTTGGAAATTTATTTTGGACTTTTTGCTTGGAATGGAAAAAAAGTGAAACCTGGATTTTAAGTTTTGATGATTAAAATCATTTTGTTATTGTAGAAATACCTTGAATCTGTAAAGCAAAAATCTGAGGTTGTATTATAGTTATATTTTACTGCACTGAAAAAAGTCAGAAGTCACGTTTTTTTCTCTTTCTGAACTTTTTCTTTCTCTTAGTTTTCTGATAAAAGTTAATAAAATTTATTTTAAAAAAGAACTGGAAGTTGTACTAACTTAGCCATGTCCATTTTTCCTATGTAAACAAGATCTGCTAGTAAAGACTTTTTTCTCACTTGTAATTTTATTATAAATATGCTATGGCTTCTACCCAAGTTTTGCTCATTTCATCAGATGCATTCATGTAGTTCATGAATCTTATGAAACTGGATGTGTATCTGGATTCTGTATTTACATCCACTTGTACACCCAAAATGTTATGCACCAATATCTGTATAAGTGTATTAACAATACTTTTTTCTTTGTTTCTGTTTCAGAATCAAGCTATCAGTAATAAGCTTCTGAATAAAACTACTTGCCCAGTTATTCTGGCAGCACTACCAACCATAGTATTCTTATGCAGACAATGTGATAAAGGCACAAAGTACGATGTTTTGCCAACTCTGGGAATCTGCATGCTTCTGTCTTGGATGTCTTCATTTAAAAATATCTGGTAGCAAGGCATAGAACGAATCTGCTTTGTTAAAATTCCCAAAGAGCTTCTATCAGTCTGCAGACAATTCTAGATTAGACAAGCAGTCAATTCATTGTAAAACAAATCCATGCACTTGATACATCTTGAACGTAGTATTTTACTTTAGGTAAGGTTTAAAACTCTATTGCAATTCTCCCATTCATTCTTGTATCTTACTGCACAAATAAAGACTCTCAAATATATATCAAAGTTTTCCCTACACGTCTGCTTTCGATATAAAGGGATATTCCACATGTGGAAACTATATTAAGAGAATTTCCTGATGGAGTTCAGAACCTGTCTGGCAACCAAAGAAAACTCTCCACAATATATGAATTCCTGTTCTACATTTAAATAATCTGTTTCCCCCATCTGCTTCCTGAGCTTCTACTTCAAGGATTTCACAGAATTCCAGAAAGGCTATCCCTATATTAAAAGAATGATTTGTTATGTTTTGATTTCATTAGATTTTCTGCATCTCCCCATTGCATTTCCATTCATGTATGAAACAGGTTGATAAACTGCAGAATCAGATAATGGGGTTCATATCTGGAATCTGGATCTGGATCCAGATATGCCTCCAAATGCAGATGTTAGTTTTATACACCGAATTTCTTCCAGCAGCATATATCCTTTTCTACACTTTGCACAAGTTACTCATCAGAATGTCTAGTTAGAAAGCCCAGCACCGCCAGAGGCACGTGAAGGAGTTTCTTTGCATTTTTCACAATAAAACTAAAAAGAAACATGAAGTCGTTCCAAATAAATATAATCCTTTTCACTTGGGAATGTAGAATCAATTGACTACTTATCTAATGACTACCGTACTTATCTTCGCTTTTGCGAAGTGTAAATATATTGCCAATGCTGATCAAAATACAGTATACCAAGAATTTTTTTATATGCTCCTTAATTGGCCCACAAGATGGCAGCAGTTATATGAATAGCTCTGGATAAGAAGAAAGGACAATATGTCTGACAAGCAACCAAGCAGACTATAAAGCTCCTTGTAAAGCATGAAAAGTATGCAACTTCTTTTGATCAGGGTGAGATCATGTTTTACTTTCAGCTTCTCCAAAGTCTGCCAAATAGTCTTACATGAAACTGTTTATTATTTTTCAGGGGAACTTGGAATTTGAATTTAAAAATAAAGTTATTCAACATAATGGTAGATTGCTTTAATCCATAGTTTCAAAATATGCCAAATTCTTTTTTATTATTATGATGAACTACAAGAATGTGTCCATCTCTAACCTTGGATAACTCCCAAGTGAATTAA